AAATGTACATGTATTTCTGTTACTTACAGTGATAAATTGCAACAACTCCCCTCCGTTCTCTTTCTCTCTTTTTTTTGAAAGTCGTATGTCGTCAATAACAGCACAACGGTATACACTCTGACAACCATAAATGCCTTATTGAGCTACATACTGTACATGTACATGCATTAAAAGCTCACTTGTTGGGCGGAGACAGAGCTGACATGCGGTGGCTTTTTTGTGTACGTGTTGGCCAAACGGTTAGCGGCAATCTGAAAAGTTGGTATTAAACATAAATTCCGACCCTTAAAATCTGTGAAGTACAAGTATCGTTGGATTTTTCTTTTAAATGTGCAAAAGCAGGAATATTCTTTTTGCTGGAAGTCCTTAAAATTAAAGATTAAAAATCTTCAAAAAGAGCAGCCAGTTGGGGGCTGAATGTTTTTGCCTAGATCTTAATGACAAAACTCTGAAATGGTAGAATAAATTTGTGTAAGGCGATAATGCTCTCTGATATAGGGAGGGATACAACCTAGAATGAAAATAATGCGACTGGCAGGGCTCAAAATCTTTCCCCTAATTCTAGTGTTAAGAGTGCTGACATCGTAAGCACTAATGTTTTTTCTTCAAGTTCCGTATTGGCAGGCTCCACATACCGAAAGTAAATAATGGCGCGATCGGCAAACCTCAGAGGCTGGAAAGATCTTTCTACTCCATAACGAACACCACCCCTCAAAACTTTATACAATGTATATCCTTTTGCTGATAAGAAGCAAGGTATTACTTTGTGGAATGCAGTGCTTAAGTGGTCTACTTCAGACAATTTTTGTTCGAACACCATTCTTGTTTCAGGGACTTCACATTTTCTTCGGATAGGTTTTGTGCCACCTCGGGGACCACAACATCTTGCTGTGTGCACAGACCGTGAACGGGTCTTTTGTTGTAGAGGAACGCAAGGGGACAGGGGGGCCGTTCTCACGCGTGCAAAGAGGAGGAGCTTGGACAAAAGAATGCTTTCCTGGCGGTCTCTGTATTTTTGATCCCGTCCCTAAGGTTAATTTACCTCTAAATAACTCCCTTTTCAAGATAGCTGCAAGATTTGAACCAAATTTGATATACACTTCAGGAGATACAGTACTTTAAATGAGGCACCATTTAATGTCACGTGACTCGACTGCTGATGGCATTGTCATCACGTGAGGTCAATTTCCGTTTGTAAACCTTCCCTTCCTAACTGCCTGCAAGGTTTCAACCCAATAAGACATGTACAATACAATATACAACACAAAACATTATACTTATCGCGGGAAAGGCACAGATTAGATATCTTAAAACATTTGTCCTTTTGACGTTCCATACAATGCGATCTGCTCTCGGCAGCACGTGGTCGGCATTTTGCCAAGTCCCGAGTATAATGCCCTACGCACTGTGCGCCGTCTATGTTGCAGGCAGATATTTGGCGTCCACACACACAGTAGCATATGCAAAGCATACTAATGGTTTTCGAGTTCGCAATTTATATTTTAGTTTTGTTTGTCAACGGCGCTTCACGTCTGTGAAAAAGTACACCACTTATGCACTTCATGCAGCTGACTTCAATTTTTCAGCTGTCATTTCATGCACAATTCACGCTTATATCTCTTACGGTTGATTTTTTACCGAATTTTGAAGAACAAAAGAAGTTTTTATTGTAACTTCCGGTCCGATGACGTCATCAGACCCAAACTTCACACACGTCTTGAATGGGTAAAGATGGTCATCTACATCAATTTTCAGGCGATTCGGACAAACGGTGTACAACACGGTGTACAAAACAAACGGGCTTTTGAGCAGAAGAAGCAAAAAAAAAACAACAAACCGGAAGAAAAAAAATGTCTTTTTCGCAAAATGGCGAGAAATCTAAAAAAAAAACGGACAAAAAGAATGCCTTTTTCGCAAAGCCCCCCCAAAACAAACAGAACAAAAAGAATACCTTTTTTGCAAAATTGCCAAAAAAAACCCCCAAAAAACAAACAAAAAAATTGCCTTTTCGCAAAATTGCGAAAAAGCCCAAAAACAGAACAAACGAATGTGTTTTTTGCAAAATTGCGAAAAAGCCAAAAACGAAAACAGAACGAAAAGAAAGCATTTTTCGCAAAATTGCGGAAAAGTAAAAAAAAAAAAAAACGGAACAAAAAGAATGCCTTTTTTTGCAAAGTTGAACAAAAAAACCAAGAAAACAGAACAAAAAGAATGCCTTTTTCGCAATATTGCAAAAAAAGCCCTCGCCAAAAACTTTTAACAAAGCAATAGCTGCTTCGGCAGTACACCGAAGCAGCTAAAAAAATTAACGAAAGCAATAGCTGCTTCAGCAGTACACTGAAACAGCTAATAAAAAGATGCAGATGGGGGTTCTAGGAGTGCTTTTTGCAACTGAACCAAGACAAAGTAAGGAATCATGAACACAATTGTGCTTGTATGAATGAGCCCAAAAGACACACCATTAAAACAGCTACGAAAATGAAGTATTATTTTACAAGATACAGCGTGCATTATGCACCATCCATCATACATTGCTATCAGAAAATGGTACAAGATAATTCAATACATTATCGGTAAAAGAAAGCTTCAATACACCTACATTGTGTCTGTGATACAATATCCTGAGATTTTTTTCTGCACCTTCGATGGATACTGCAGGTCAACCGTGTACATGACCAACCTAGGAAGACATGTAAGTGTCCAATGAATGTTATCTGCGACAAATAAATCCCACCTAGAACAGCCAAAACGCAGATTTAGTACCCTGCGTTATTATCCTGGCCTCCACATTTTCATGACTAACCACAGAATTACAGTCTGTACTGAGCGCTTGAGAGGAATTATATATACAACAAGCAACTATTTCAGACAAAAATATATGAAATAGTTCAAAAGGTCTAAAAAGTTCATCATTTTGTTGAGTGAAAAACCACATGCACAAGTTACAGTTGACTTGTAAAAAGAACGCCATAAAGGTTCAAGAATACACAAACAGACCTAAAACATGACACCTTGCTTTCTTTGTATGTGCTCTTTCCTACACGAGCTTGATGTACATGTACAATGTCGCACATCACTCCCTCAAGAACACACACACACATAAAACAAAGTGTGATGTCGTTAAAGATCTATTCCTTAATTCAATTAAAAGCTTTTAGACTTTTTAAACCACACTTTCATTTTCAGGTCAACAAATGTTTTCATGTTTTTCTTTTTGCAAAGGGAAAAAGGCCACATAGCAACAAACCCAATCACTTGCATTTTTATAGCATTTCATGTCCACAAGAGATTAGGGGTGAAAGGGAAATAAAAAAACATTGAAGGTTATGCATACTGGTGACATGTATGGATGTACAATGAAAATAAGAACTGAGAACAGGTTTTGGTTCACAAATGAATGCCAGAAGAAATCTTTTCATTCTCTGAACATATAATCCACTCCCTTTTTTGTTCCACCAAATGTGCGATAGTTTGCATAGATGCAAGCTCAGCTGCACTATTGTGCTGCAGGTTGTCCCAGAATGTTTAAAACCCCAAAATGCAAGATATTTATTACTTTCTAACCATTAAAATGACTAAGACAGGTTCTGATTTTTGAAATAATCATCTTTACCATACTTGTAGCTTTATCGATTATGAAAACTGTTAAGCCAAACTAAAGTTTCACTTGACTGTGTAGGAAGTGGCATTTTAGTACTTCTGCAAACAATTGTAAATTACTTTTTAAGAACACAGCAGCTTCGGGGCAACACACCTTTCTTTCAGTTCTGCATTACTAAAACACTGCCAAATTAAACCGTTTGAAGATACAAGCTCTGAATATTTGTTGACCCTAAATGATTCATTTTATCCCTACACGATTTATACTCAGTTCTGGATAAACTGGATACAGAGATGTGATGAACAAAACCCGACTACGTATAAGCTGTTGGTACAGTATTTAGATTATATGTAAACTATCTACCTAATGAGCCAGTGGGAGACAAGAGTCTGCACTTCGGTGAAACCCAGTTTCCTTTCCTGTTTAGGGAAAATACTAGAATTTAAAAGCATCTTTAATGGGGTACTTCACTTAGCAAAAACTTAACTCTCTAGGATGGGGTCGTACTAATTAAATTTAATGGATGCTTTAAGTATAGGTAATGCAATCATGGTGTTTATGGTAAAGCTGTCAGAAAGAATGTGTACTGATTGGTGTATAGTCTGGGTGGGTTTGTGGGAGCAGGGTTCCCTTGGAAACTGGCTTTCCCAAATACATCAGCATGCAGTAATTTGAGAAAAGAGGACAACAGAGAGAAAGGGGGATGGGGAGAAGAGGGAGGGAAGGGAGAGAGAGTACGGGAGGGGGAAAGAAAACATTGCTAATTGTGAGGTGGTGAAGACTGTGGCGATATCTGCACTTTTTTAAAATTCTCCTTGGCAGCCCTAACTATATACGAGTTTTCCTTCTTGCGTTTGTCTATGGTTTTTACAATTTTTATTTTATATTATTCATTGTAATTACGTCTGTCATTTATGCCGAATCAAGTATTACTATTATCACCATGCTTTCATGGGTGTATCAATTATGGTTCTGAAAACAGCCATTGAAGACCCATACCACGGTGACAGTTCACAAAGAAAAAGAAAACAGAAAAGAAACAAAGGAAAGACAACTGTTTTGTCTTGTCAACTTAGGTAAATTAGGGTAATCCTTTTTTTTTTACTACTTTACTCAAACTACATCTCCACCACCTGTTACGCAATCAAGTGTATTTTAAAGTTTGGTCAAACCAATTTTTGTGATAAAATCTTACGAAAGCTAAAAGTATGGCACAGTTTCCTATAGGGTGTAAATAATTAGGATATTTTGGGTCTAAAAATTCTTGGATAACCTGTATGTTAGTTCCAGAAACTGCCAACGTTGCTTTGGTATCTTTTGTGACACTTTCTTGAAACTTTAAAAGTGATTCTCTGACTCAGAGATGATATTGCACATGGTAAATTTATCACATATCCAGTGGAATACTTGAGTACTGGTTAAACTAAAATCAATTTGTTTTTCTATTTTGCTCTTTTTTCCCCACCTAAAAAGGAACAAAAAGGGTAAAACAGGTCTACAGGCCAGTTATCTCAAAAATTCAGCATGGCCCCTTCCACATATGAAATAAGTGCACCAAATTAGGCACTTTGACCCTCCTTTTATAAACTTTTTTTTTAACTGGGAACTACATGTATTTTAGACCATAACACATTCTGATTAAGGCTGGTTTAAGTTTATCACTCCTAATCATTTTATTCTCTCCAACAAAACCCATAGAAATCAGCTATAGGTCAACCAACACTTTTTGGATCAATATCCAGAGCACTGAAAAGACATTTATGACCACATTCAAACTCAATTTTTATGTCACCAAGACTGTATCAAAGAATTAAAGTTCAGTAAGTGTAAGGTTGCTATACAATTCAAACAAATAAGACACTTAAAACCAATTAACACTAAGCAGGAACAAAACTTGCAAAACTGTTAAACACAAACAACATATACAGTTAATTTATACATGTACATTTCACAGAGATTGGTGTGCAGAGCACAACACATACCTCTTCAGGGTACTAAAAATACTAAAAACAAAAGAAATCCAGCCAACCAAAAGAAAAACAAAAGGAAATGATGTTTACGATAATAAAAAAAAAAAATTCTTGAAGATAATGACAAGGAGAGTAAGGTTGGCATAGTGTGTCTTTCCTTGCCTTCTACCTTAAGGGCCTGGGTTCGAATCCGGCTTGGTCCACATGTGGATTGGGTTTTCAGTTCCTGCCCGAGTCGGTCGGTTTCCCCAAAACATTTATCATCCCATCGCTAAATTGCTTCAAAATTGCTTCACTCACTTATTCACTCATTATCATATCCTGTAATTGGTGCTAAGTGTGCTGTTGGATGAACAAATATAAAAACAAATAAATAAACGCAATAAAAATAATATGTAATTAATCACATTCACTCAAGATATTCATACCAATAAATTAACTGTTTTAATTTCATTTAATTCTTTTTAATTTAGTCTCCCAAAACGGTTCCAGGCACAATGCAGACTTTCCATACACAGAGCACATAAGTTTGGGTCTCTTTCGTATCCACACCTGTTTGCTGGATTTCATCACTGTATGATTTCAATGAAGACTTTCCCCAACTGCACATGCTGGCTTGAGGCACACTGAAAATGAGCATGCTAATATAGCCTTTCGGCTCTTCTAAACTTTAATTTTGAAGTAAATGCCAAAAACAACTGACACCTAGAGCTAGTAGGCTTCATGAAGCATGGATATCAGCCTCAACAACCTTTGGAAAGGTTGGTCTGAAATGACAAACACAGCACCAAAGTGGCTAAAAGTTGGCTGAAATAGAAAAAGAATATTAGATAATCATTTAAAAAAATGCAAATACAAAAAAATTCCAAATTTGTAAATAATACAAAATAAAACAAATTGAGCCCTACTGCCCCACTTGGTGGCTTTTGATCAAAGATCATATAGCGCCAAGTAGTGGCACAAGATGGCACAAACAAGTGGCACAAACTTCACCGTGAATACACGTAAAATGTTATAAACGCATAGGCGCCATTTGAGCAAGCCATATGCTGGCATGATGCACATTAATGCACAGGTGAAGGCGCCACGGCAGTAAGTGCACCTGGTGAGCCTGCGCTTAAGCATTACCATAAACCGCACAGGCATTTCCCTTGCTCATATGGCGCTCATGGTAATTACACCATTTGGGCAGAGTTATCCATCTTGCGCCTTTGGCGCTATACGATCTTTGCTTTTGATAGAGGCAGATCACAAGTCTAGTCACACGTGTGTACCATGTCGGGTAGCTGACTCGGTGAGTGGGCTGTAACATTGATTGTAACCAGGATCTTGAGGGGCATGGTCACATCACGTGTGTTGTAAATTGTTAGCGAGAAGAGCATCGGGCTGTATATATAATGCTGGTACATATGTACATGGTGCAACACACACGCATCAAAGGTTGTCCACAGTACATTTAGGCTATCACATGCGTGTACACATGTAGGGAACTTCTCCCCTCCCTTCGTACTCACTTAGTGACTAACTACCTGACATCTACTAAAGAATGCTGAACAGGAAATGGGCTAAGCATGTAACTGACAAAAAGTTGTTCACGTCAGTTGACAAATTTTGGCAAAAACATGTTTTACCCCAACTAACCATCAGGTGACCACTGGCCAATTCTGTGAATGATCCATGTGGGGCTTGACCCAAAAGTAACTGGCCAACTAGCAATCACTAGGTGACCTTTGACCCCACATGCGGGTCAACAAAGATTGAATTCAATTTAAGGAGATCCTGTCGAAATATTGCTGATATATGCAAAGGACTTTTAAGACATTGGCGGATGTACATGAAGCATTTTTAGTGAGGGTTTGCCCAAGGGAAGTTGATATCACTATGTGTCACTCTGCTTTTTACAGCTGATATAACAAGAGGCACCAACTCATGAGATTATAGAAAGTTGATCTTTTTCCGAAGTTTGTGAGGCCAGTCATGGCAAACTATTATCAGCAAAGTGATGCAAAAACTGAGTTGTGAGACATGGCTCTTACTTTAAACACATGTATGATTAAACTAGCTTCCATTACAGTACTAAGTCAGTCACACTACATGGTGGTATAATGTTCAGAGCATTACAAATACAAATTGATATAATAATCCGAAAATGAATCCAAGCTGCAATGTGAGTCTTAAATTCAACAGTGAACTTTAAGCTTGCTAATGTTCCTTCTGACTACTTCAACACTCTCATTAACAATAACAAAGGGTACATAAAATATACAAAAATAAGTAGCCATGACATTTCAGTGATGTCAAGGCGGAGTTCATCATTTGTCATTTGTATATTGTGTTTTTGAGGCAACAAAATTAGTCAAAATCTAAAGAAGGGTACCTAAAAACATCCCCGATAGAGTTTCAGCTCAGTGGACAATGCATATTGCAAGAAGAACAATATTATAATATTTCGATTTCAGATCGAAAGTTGTCAAGTCATGTTTTGAATTGCACCTGAATTCAGCATCTTGGACAAGTTATCACATTCAGTTGAATGCGGCTACGCATTGAACTAGCAAATTGCAGTAAACACACACAAGTATCAACACAATTCCAAAAATGCGTCATTGGATGCTGCTTGGAAATGGCTATACTGTCAATTCTTGTTCTAGGGTTGCAGGGACCAAACTGATTATTTTGCTACAACCAGGACTTTGTTATAAGAGTAGAATAACAAACAATCGGGATTCACAAAATTTACTCTTTGTAACAGTGTTGAGTTGATACCAGTTCTTCTCAGAACCATACCTGTTCTGAACAGACTGATTCCATGTTGTACCTGCAAACCTACAGCTCATGGAACTTCAACCATGCAAAGCATCAAATCTTACTTAACAGTATTTTGTTAGAACAGAATTAGAGAGTGGACTGCAACATCTTACCAGAAAGGATAAATTTACAGTGAGTTTGTACCTATAATCATCTTTCAACTGAGTTTACGTCTAAACAATGTCGGTTACTTTTTGGATAATGCAAATGGTGAACTGCACCTTCAATTTGTCAATTGACTCAAACCAAAGCAAGTTTTTGAACATTCACAGGTGATTATTGGATTAGTTTTACTTTGTGGCAAAGCCTATCATTCTGAGGAGCCCACAGTGCAGACAAAAACAAAACAAGGTATAATCTGACCACAGTATTCTTAATTTGCTTCTTACAAGTAAACTTCGCAAGTTCTTCCTCACTGCAGAATTCATTCACTACTCCCCCTACCTATCTGGATGGCAGCCTTAAACTGCATGGATCATTTGGGCCACACTGGGTACCTTAAGGCAAGAAACTGTGGTACGTAAAGCTTTATGCTGTAGGTGACAAGTTCTGAGAACGAAACAAACATAATGCACATTATAATACACTGCACAGTGCTAAAAAATGCAGAAGGTTTAGGCGACACAGTATATGCTTTGCATACTTCCAAGGCCCAGTTAACTTCCGCTGCGATTTCAGCATGACCAACCTTTTGTTTATGCAACACCCTACTGTGTCCTAGGGAATGTAGATGGCTCTTTCAAATTTAAATGTGAAATCTGCATATAGTACAGAGCAACTTTAATTACATCTGAACTAGCTCGCCAGACTTTTCATTTTTATTTGAGAAGAAGCTATAAAATAAGGAGGAACTTGGCAAATACAGCAAAGAAAACTGAAATCCATTCTTTGGATGAACAATATCAATGTCCGTTGTACAATTAACAATGTCCATCAACTCAGTAAACACATCTGTAAATGGTATATGCTGGCACATACAAGTGTGAAAAGGTTTGAAAGTTAACAGAACATTTCGGATGCATATCAAAATGACATTATCTTTTCTCTCTTTCTTTGTACACAATATTCATACGAATAGTTTCCCATTGAGGTTGACATCTGTAACTGTTAGAATGTAATAATAGCAATAAATAACTGAGAACTGAGTAACAGCAAAATGAGCTACTTCACTGAAAGCTGATGTGTGTGAAGCTACTTCAGACTACACTCAGCAGTACATCCATACATGTACATCCATACAAACTATCTGAGAAAGTTCACAGGTCAGACAGATACACCACATGACACTTGGCACCAGTCTGTATGCACATTGTGTGCATTGTAGTATCCATTACTCTATTCTGGGAAGACTGTAATATGGGAAAAATCTGGCTTCACGTCTCTCTCGGCTGGATTGACTGCTTGATTCACGCTGTTTTCTTTTCTTCCTGGTGCCTCTTGGTCAACAGTGGAACATTCCTTGCGCGGTCTTTGTACAGCCTGTGGTTGCTCAACAGTGTCCTCAAAATGTTCACTTGACTGTGTTAGGGTTCTCTCCTTGTGCATGACATCTGTACTTGAGTCTCCTGCTAAGTCGTCTGCCACATTGATAGATGTTTTGTCCTCGGGTTCTGACCCACTAGAGGCATACAGGCTGTAAACATGACGATGTCGTTCCGTCACAACCTTGTTTTCCCAGAAGTTCTCATGCCGCATGTCTGAAGCTGCTGACTACAAGATATTCATGAAATAAAATGCAAATTGTGATTGCTGTAAGAGAATAACAAAATCAAAATAAAAATATCTTTGCTTTGTTCTAGACATTGGATAAACCAGACAATTCCAAATTAAGTAAACAAATTAAAAAAAATTAAATGTTCAAGTCACCAGTTTCCAGCTGTTTTCAAAAATCAAATACTGTGCTAGGTGTGTGCATGTATTCATTTGTAGATGTGGCTTGGTGTTATTTTTGGTTGAAAATACAAATCCTTACAAAAAACACACAAAAACATTACACAACCACAGCCAATTTTTACAAACTCAGATTTATCAAAACTGATTAATTAGTTTTCCAAGATTTGTGCTACATTCTCCCCCCCCCTGCATGATCCAATATTTAACACTCCCAGACAATGTCATAGAGAGATACATACACGTACATTCGATACAATGCATAGCCGTAGCTATACCAGGCGAGCTATGGGACGGAGGGGTACCCCCCCTTACGTGTCGAACCCTATATACACTCTTGACAATTGTTACCTAACATGTCCCCACAGAAGTCTGTAAAGAATTCTTGAGCTTCCGATCAAACAATGACCAACACAAAAGGTGGGGGGGGTTCTCTCCGTCCCATATCTTGCTTCAAATGGCCGTAGCAGCGATGGTGAAGTCAGAGGGGCACCATACACACTCAACCTATACAGACTAGTTCAAGCCCCTATGCTTGTTCATATTCAAAGGGAAGCACTGAAGGATGAGTATTAACCACTTCCTACCGGGGATTCTGGACACGTATGCTTATATACTTGGCTGGGTCTCTGAAATCGGACAAAGGGAACTGGGCCTTGTAACAAAAGACCGTACTCGGAACAAAAGACCAGGCTGCTGGGCATTACCAGCATTTTTACACTCTCAAAAGTGAAGACGTGGAGACAATCCAGCCTTGTTTTGAAAGAGTATACCATGGTTTGGGGCATTTAGAGCGAGCGAATTACCACTGGGGACAAAAGCGCTCCACCACCGCAGTGATGAGCCACACAGCACCGCTGCATATCTAATCTGGCCCCTATTTAAAAGACATCAGCAGCACACTGTGCCAGGTTTGTGAACAAAAGAAAGTTATATAACACCACAATCTGGGCTCTTTTTGCAAGGCTGCAGGCTTGGCTGAAATACTCGGGTGTCAATAGACTTGGTCTGTCAGGCTAGAGTGGCCACCAAACAGTCCTTCGTCTTAAGCGTTGGATCTACGTGCACAAGTGGCTAGAACGGAGATCCTAATGAAAAGCTCAAAGATAGAGTTCGTGCTCTCATCCAGTGCTTGAAGTGCGACAGCTGCCAGGTCAGGAGTAACTGGTGAATCTTTGTCACACGCTCGGGCCAAATACTCAGGGAGGAGTGCTGTAAATGAAGGCCCTATCATGAGGTTTTGTCGAGTTTAGCAAGAGTAGACTCAATGAAACACTTGTCCTTGTCTCTAAATTGAGACTTTCCTGTAGGTTTGTGAGCATCAGAGGAAAGTTTATCTGGCCTCCGTAGGAATCTCAGGGACAAGTTTATCTGGCCTCCGTAGGAAAATCAGGGACAGAGAGGAAGTTATCAAAGTCCTCCCTAGCAAACTGAAAATAAGTCAAGGCCCTGGGTGGTTAAGGATGCCATTGTTTAGCACTGGCGAGAACTTTAAACATCTCAACGCATGAGCGGTCGAGTGGAAGTTCGGGAAAAATCGGCGTTGATGCCTCCAACCTAGCGGGGTGACACTTGAAGGAAGCATGTGAAGAGGCCTCAGCCATAGACTGATTGGAAGGCAGGCCTAATATGTGGATCATATCCTTCTGAAGAAGATGGAGCGGTGCAACAGGAGGGTTAAGGTTGGCTGGAGAGGAGTTATCCTCATCTTCAGAGGGCGTATCTCGTTCCATCTGCAGTTGATTGAGGAAGGAGGAATATCATCATGTCTTGTTGGGTGGCCAGGGGGCGGAGCACCAGGTGAGCTGTAGTCTGCACCGAACCCTGGATAAGTCAAAGGGGCGAAACCATCATATGAAAATCTATACAGTAAAGATACAGCAGGAGGGGGCTGGTGAACTGCAGGGGTAGAAGCAGTCTTCTCAGAAAGGCCCACAAGGAAGCCGGAGTGACATATGGGGATCGAAAAACCTCGATGGTGCAAGAGGCCGGTGGGCTCTGTTGTCCCGGGGCACGGGTGGTGGTAAGCCTGCATGGCCCGGTATTGTCTCCGCAAGTAGCGCACTGGGAGGGCAGTGTTGTGTTGTCCCGTAAAGTGTCACCGTCTTTGTCACGGCCGGGTGCCCCGATTAAAACGGTGTCTGAAGGCAATGGCACCAGGAGTGATGCGGCCGGTGTAGCTAGCGTTGGCCGAGTTGGGCTGCTCTGGCGCATAGACTTGTGAGCCATGCCGATATCGGGTGCTGCCCACGGTAGCTTGTTGTCGACCCGCGTCACCCGTTTGAAATGCTTAGGAACTGGGATGCAGAAGTGTTGCATCCAGGCCCAACAAGCGGGGGAATCTCAACCCCAAGTGCAGCGCCACTCTGTACTATCGTTGACTGTGATGCTTCGGTGTTACATTGGGGAACTGAGTATACGGATATCACATGCACTGCAGCTCAGGCCTTTGAAGTGTGGTGTGGGCTAACCCTTAACTGAACCAAAGATGGTATTGTCAGCAGGGATTAGCCACGGGATCACAAGTTCACCAAAATGCCACTCGATCCTCCGCAGACTGAATCCTGTCGGTCTATAGGGGAATGTGGGGTCGCGAAATTCAAAACGCTCGCACTTCCTTGCGAACCCCAACAAACCCAGATCGCCCCGTTGACCCTATAAATGTAAGAAGGAAAGAAGGGGACCGTGGTATTTGATTGCTCGCACCACCTCGCAGAACCCCCAACAATCCCAGGGTCTCCTCGTTGACCCTATGTATCACTTGGTAACAGCGTAGTCAATGATCTTAAAAATGCACACACACACAAAAGAGGAAATATACCACCAAAACAAGAAAATATACACATAAACTCAGAAATGTAGAATGTACGTATATCACAATACGTTACGGTTTGATCAGAAAGTCACAAAGGTGTGTAGCGAAACGGAAGCTTGATAAACTCGAAGATGTCAAAAAGACACGTCTGTTTAGAATCAGGCTAAGGAAAAGAAGATCGAACATGGCGGCCATTCGGCTATGCTCATGCGACTTGAGGGCACACTACGGTTGATCAGAAGATTTAGCAAATTGAATCAGATGCAAAGGAATTTGCATATTTAGCAACAGTTTGCGGTAGGTTGAAAGCAGAAGACTGCTAATTTTCAGTATAGAGCTCAGCACATCAGTAGTCCGAGTACCTTACCGACTGTTGGCTTTATTTTTGGTAAATGACAGTTATGACACACTTTGCAATGGGAAGACACTATGTCTGCTGATGTCCGATACCCAATGTAGGTCACGTGACTTAGCAGGCGCAATTGGTCAATTACTGGATTCATGTCTCATGACAATTCTGTTCCTGTAAAATCTTCGGCAGAAATAAGCATTTGGGCAATTCCAAAATTTGGCTATTCAGTTACAAACGTCAGTGTTACTAAACTGAAAAAAAAAAAAAAAAAAATTGGTTCTACTACACCTAAACATCAAATGATGACAACGTCATAATTAGTAAGTACAGTCAAAAACAAGTAACACGAGCATGTTTCTTCAGTCCCGTTCAAAATGTACACATTCCTGTAAGAGAAAACTTACTCAAGATGAGCTATGCTGAGACAAGAACAAGGACAAGAAAAGCACTTTTGCATAACTGGCAGTGTCAAAAACCATTGTCCACGGCATTTTTAATACAAGTACAATTGAAAAGTGTCTTTAAAAGCTTAATGTAATTCCTGATGGAGTGCATCAGAAGTTCTCCAAAACTGCTAATCCGCTCGGCAATTTGAGCTTCGGTTTTGCCAACGATGAGTTAGCGACTCTGTTCCGTGTACCGCTAGAGGGGGCTTTATTCTAGATGACAACAGGTGTTGCGATGTCGCGGTATCAAAGGAGTTTTGATCACAGCGGGTCTGGTCAGAAAGAGGTGTTCTTTTTTTTGCCGAACATGAACAATTATAGGTGAACCTGACTTGAAAATGGATCCCTCCCGCCAATTATAAACCAACGGAAATTCCCTAATTTCAGCGCCCTCTTACGTCCGGTCGTTATATGAACTGGTTCTTAAGTTAATTAAACCTTTACTTATGTGCAACATCGGGAACCAGTTTCCGAGCAGTGCTTTGCCTGGCCACGCTGCATGCGTCTGGTGCAGGCAGGGCGGCTGGCTGGCCAGCCACTGTTGCGTCAAACAAGTAGGCATATTCGGAATCATTGTTTTATTCAATTGAATCGTATTTATTACTGATTAAAATTTATTAACCCCTTTTACGACCGATGACTGCAGACGCCGCACCTGGAGAAAAGCTAATTTCCAGATGTCTGCGGTGGCCGCATACCACACCTGCAACATTTATTTAGTGTACATCTGTAGTTACTTGGAGCTTTGCATTTCATGGAAATCTGGGGCAACTAGGAGAGTTGGTCGACCCCACGATATCCAGTAAATTGGATTTTATTCATCAGAACACCCCCTTTGTCTTTGATGGCGTACCCTGGGTAATCTCCATGGAGCGTCGCTGACTCCGCTGTCAGGGCTTATGCAACACGCTTTGTGTGGGCCCAGAGCGCGATGAATACAGGCCATTGACATGGCGTGCACGCCATTGTTTACAGCCCTACTGGGCCCTGAACACGTGCAAAGCACCCCAGCACCCACACTCGGGATATAGATGGTCCATTGTTCAGCATAATTGGGCATTTGTTTCCTCCAAAAAGGAGCGTTTTCTGTAGCGCTCGGTATATATTTTCCTGGCCACTCCCCGCCCCCATCAGTTGCATTACAAAATGTCTTCCAGTGAAGGGGAAACTCTGACAGCGACTGTGGTTCAGATTTCACGTCGGAATCTGAACATAGTTAAGAAATTGAAACTAGTGACAGCAATTCTAACGGGCAACCACCGTTAGCGAGGCATGCCAAGAAGAAGGTCAAGACTTCATCCATTCAATGGACGGCTGATGACAACTTCCCCCGCCGACACGGCTTCCAAGGCACAGAGGGTGTTCAAGTGTGAGAACTGGACAAGAACAGTACTCCTGTCAAAATCTTTGAAGCGTACTTCACCCCAGAGTTGATGTTACACATCGCCAACGAGCCCAACCGCTATGCCGCTGAACACCCGAAAAGTCAAGCAGCAAGTCCAGGTCACATGAGAAGCTGGTTCGACACAACACTAGACGAGATGTCAGTGTTCCTCTCCATAATCATCATCATGGGACTGATGCCGAAACCTGACTTGAAGTCCTACTGGACGAGAGACTCAATACTTGAGACTCAGTTTTTCCCTCATACCATGCCACGCGACAGATTTATGGACTTGCTGTCCTGTCTGCATTTCATCGATAACAGCTGTGCAGATATGACTGATCGACTCTACAAGCTGTACCCGGTGATAGACGAACTGACCGAGAAGTTCAAATCCGTCTACATTCCGTCTAGCAACATTACTACCGACGACTCCCTTTGGAAATTCAAAGGGAGACTGAGGTTCAAGCAGTACAACCCCAAGAAGCGTGCGAGGTTTGGCATCAAGGTGTATTGAGTCTGCCAGAGCACGGGAGTTGCCGCTGGATAAAACTGGAACTTTAAGGTTTACACCAGTCGAGACCAGACTGTTGGACTGGCAAGTACAAAAATCGTACTTGACTTGAACGCCGATCTTCTTGGCAAAGAGTACACCATTTTCCTGGACAACTGGTTCAGCAGCCCTGAACTGTACCTGAAACTATATGACCAGAAGACGAATGTCGTCGGGACGGTGAGAAGCAATCGTCAAGACATGCCCAAGGACTTGTTCTCCTTGAAACTCAAGAGAGGTGATGTTCACCACTCTTGCGACAAGGGCTTGCTCGCCTTGGTCTGGCAAGACAACTAAGATGTCCGTATGTTGTCCACGATGCATACAGCCGAGATGGTCGACACCGGAAAGCGGACCCGCGATGGCATCGCTTTGGAAAAACCCAGGTGTGTTCTCGACTACGACGGGATAAAGAGTGTGGACATTGCAGACCAGCTGGCATTGTCGCACCATTCAGAAAGAACATCAATCAAATCAATCGCTGTCAAGTTAAAGGTAATATCGAATACCAATCCACTGCATATACTGTATCGTACGGTACATGCAGGCCTGCAGTAAATGTACATTGCCGTAGTGTATATCACAATGCTTGCTGGTGCATGACGCCAGGCTTGTGCTCTATAAATGGGATAAGTGTCAACACGTATAACACGAGGTTTACCTTAAGACAAGGTTTTTAGGAGAGTCCCTTTGAGCTCGTATTAAGCATGTTCGACTGTATATCAGTGTAGATTCAGATATAAGCAAGACATTTGTAAACTTGAAAAGTGGCCTCTTTGAGGCAAATACTTTTTAACACACTGCACTCGTGCAGAAAAGATGGCTTTGAATTATCACACTGACACTGTGATATTTCTGAAGGCTTATGCTAACAGACAGCCTGAATTTACTGTTCTTGCGTCGGAGCAAAGTTGTATGAGATTAACGTCTCATCTATGAACTGCTGTGTCAGATACTGAGACATTTTATGCTGTACCATTATAGGGAATCATCTTAACTATTGCTCATGTAATACAGAACAGTGCAGTTCAGTCTCTCGATTTTTAATTCAGAAATGATGCCCGCTAAAAAGAGTGAAATAAAAGAAAAAAAATGCAAAGAAAACACAAAAATATAATCAGTTATTGAGGGAATGCTACAAACTGAGATTATAAATAGATCTAATTAGATACAAAAAGAAAATGTTATTAAACTGACCAGTTTTGTAGTAACTTTTTTAGGCAGTGGTTCCTCCTGGGAGTAAACATCTTCACGTTTGACCCTTGATACCGAACCATCCTCAAACTCTATATCGTACATCTTGACTATGTAGCTTTTGACAAAGGTGCCACTGTAAATAAGGCCATCCGTCCAACGCACTTTAACTGCAACACCTTCATTTGGTGGGCCATCAGTTGTGCAGTCATGACTCTACACACAGTAACAGGAAAGCATGGAGAAAATCCTAACATGTCTACACAGCTTTGCATGGTTATAAATGTGAATTTACAGCTCAAACTACCCAACAAGAGTGCTGACGAGGTTATCACAGGAGTGCCAGGGTACCACGACCTACTGACAATTGATTCTCCTTTTGCTTTTACTTTGGAATAAGTATTATTAACAATTTGCTGTAGTTATTGCACAAGATTTTGTTTCTGAGAATGCAGGGAGGGAGTACCCCACAAAGATATGAATTACCACCTTTAATTCCGTTAATCCCTATTTTTAGAGTTGGTTCTTCTACAGTACATTCCCGTTACAGTGCTCCTGATATGATGCTCTTCCCGATATAAAGCTCCTTTTTCATTTCACCAACTGTTCTCCCATTCATTGTGTACATTTAACTTTTGGTTATGGTGTTCTCATCTGCAGCATTTTCTTGGGTACATTGCTCAGAATTTTAAGTCCCTCACACAAAACATGTAAAATGGCTTCTTTTACAACACTCCTAAGATTCAACATGGGCATTTTTCTAAAGCGAATCAGAACATCAGTGCAAATGATAAGCCTGCGCTGACCAGCCACTGCTGCATGGCTTGGCGATGGTCCAACAGAAAATCACAGTTAATGAGACTGCAGCAAATACGTGCAATGAGACCTCAAAATAGGCACATGCATGTCAAAAAACTACTAAGAAAGAGGAATCTAGTTCTGTGAACTCACTGAAATACCCAAAGTTTCTGAGTCATGATTTTGGGCTGACAAAGTTCCAAACATACTCATGTTGTTGTGGGGATCACTGGCTCCTGGCTCTTCCATGTCATTCTCGTTATTTTTAACAGTGAGTAAGAACCACTTTATTATGCATACATCCTCATGAGTTTCCACTGCCATGTATGCAACACACACAATGCAACTTGCTTTACCGTGGGGGAGAGCAATTTGTAAAAGATCAATTAGGGTTGCACTACACCAAATACGTGCCCATAGCAAACAGTACAAAATAGGACCGAAATGGCACTGCCTGTTGGTTCTCGTGCAGAGGTTGGCCAGAAAATCAATTTTTGTTGCAATTTCATGGGGGTCAGCCATGAACATTTTGTTTATTCTCCTTTGATACCCCTAAAATAGTAGTAAAATGAAGCGCTCAGCTCTGAATGTAGCCGCCCGTCTCTATCTAAAAAAGGCCCGCAATTTGGGGCTTTTTGGGAAAGAAATACCGTAAACTGGAAACTACATGTATCAGTCCCAAATTTGGGATTTACAGAAATATTTCTATGATCCTTCCTGATTATGGCCTGTTTTATTGTAAAAACCCTGTGTGATCACAAAATATTAATGAGCTCGCATGCAGAAATACGACCGTTTGGTGGAATGCACCCTTAGATGGCACATACATGTATTATTCTGTGAATGACTTAATGTGTAATGTTGCAGGTGCATTGTGCACAGTGTAAAATGTACATAACACTGTTGCATTAAGTTTTGGATATAACGAGCAAATGAGTTTAGTCCCTCTAAGAGTACTACAATGGGATCTACAGTACTTACCAAATTAAAAAAATGTATTCTTCTAACAGTAATAGTTAATTAACATTAGGTAGCATGGATTTAGACAAATACGTGTTCATTATTAACACTACATTTACATAAACTTCAACTGTAATTCTCCAAGGAAAGTATTAAAAAGCCATTGATAAAAAATTTGTTTTCAATTATACGTAAATAAATTTATAAAAATAATAATAAAATGTAGTGTAAGGTGGTATGGATTGTTTGATGTCAATGACCTGGCAATTTACTATTTAGAATTTACACTGCATAGTATCATGATTCCTTTTGAATGTCATTTATGGAACACACTATTCTTTTGGATTGGGAATACAGGCGTACCTGTTCCGAGCGGTACCACAGAGGGCACTATGTTCCGTTCCAGGGTTGAAAAAATCAGATTTTTTTTTAATCAAAAAGGTTGAATATTTAAATAGTTTTGAATTAAAATAAGATCATATGTTGAACTATTTATAATCAAAAACAAGAAGTTTGCCAAGTCCAGTTACCTGTATGCTGCATTACACAAGAAGTCTCGGTATAAATAAACTGTTCAGGGATTCAATTAAGTTCAGCCATTTCTTCCTTTCAAATACCAAAAAGCATTTAAGGTTTCCTTGATTTCAAACAATTTTTAAATTTTTTTCTAGTGATTTAAATCAATGATTTAAATCAAACAATCTTGCTAATCACAGAGACTCCTTTGGTGGGAACAGTACTTCATTTACCAACAACTATGGAATGCATGTTATGGTTGTTCCACTACCAAAAAAAGGGCAGTCCCCACAGCAACATGACTATTTTCAACTTGGGTGCCTCTGCTCAAGGTGGATAGTTTGACTAACTACCAGAGATGTGGACAAGGCTGGTGTTCATCTTACCTCAATATCTTGAGGATAAAGGTTATCACTGTAAGAACCATCATCAAACCTGACATGATAGAAAGCCTGCTGGTGTTCACTAATCACCTCTGAATGATAGTAACGACTGTTCTTGTGTTTGGCTATGACTGTTTCACCCACACTGACATCCTTCAATGGGTAGTCACGAGGCTGGAATTCAGAAGTTAGGTTATGATATCAAACGGTTTAATAGTTCAGATATTGTAAGTAAAAGTGACAAGTGAAATGAATACAAGGATGGTAACAGCTGCACAAAACGGTGCTTCTTGGAATAAGTTCTTTTTCTGTGAAATTAAATTTAAAAGTTACCATATAATCGCTTTGATACATCAACACAGCAAAACTCAGAAGTTGGGTACACCCAGTATACTATTTTTATTCTTCATTATTTCATCATCTTGGAAACTTCAGGCTTTTCAAATGGCTTGTCACAATTGGACATCAATTCTTCAAGTATTTCTAATATTTTATCAATGTAATGTCACTCATGAGGTTCAATTTTCAGTGATGTATCCAAATTTAAAGTGAAAGTATGTACACGCATTTCCCATTATAACAAGGAAGGGGGAAAAAGCTGAAGGCAACTTTCATTTTATGAAATGCCCAGTTTGTGATCATATAATGATTAACTTCCCAAATCCAACTCACATTGTCTCTCATCTTATCAGAGTAGGGATGTCTGACGCAGGTAGCATACACTGCGTACGGCCAGTCACATGGTTCCATCACCACTCCTGCTGCTTGGGCACAAGTTACATGGAATGCCAAGGCACACTTGCCTACTGAACACTGGATTAAACCACCAAACTTGTTACCCATCTTGATGAAAGGTCGGCAGAAGAAACATTTCTGGGTTAACACAAAATACAAACAATGTCTGTTTACCCCACTGGGGTCCGGAAATGACATACATGATGGCAAATGTAAAATCACTGCAATCTCATGTTACTTGGTCTTTTAAATTAAAATAGGAGGCAGTAAATGAACAAAAGAATAGAACTGAGGTATTTTGGACAGACTGGCAGAGATGTGTAATATGTACCTACAGCAGTGATTGCAAGTAAGTACTCTTTTGGGAACAAGCGGGTACGAGCGTGTCGAGAGCACTCAAACTCCCCATCTTGCACCCACCTTGTTCTCTCACAAAGACCACGTGAAGGATGCATGTAAGAAACACGAAAGAAAACTGAATTTCCAACAGTACCTCCTAGTCACTTGAGACCCTCTTGATATGATTTACTCACCAATGAAATTAACGTCCATTGCCCAACTTGGAATGCTCTACGTCCTGCCCATGGACGTCTTAGAGCATCAATAAACAGACCGCTTGCATGCTTGAACTCATGCTGAAAGTCTACACAAAGCACATGCTTGCATCATGTAATTCACAATATGAAATGATTTGATTCACCTTCATTTCGTTTTAATTGTTGGTGTTACCAGAAGTCGTATCTCATTAACAGTAATCAAAGAACCTTTTCCATTTCAGAACCAATTTGAGGTGTGCTTACGTTGCTAAGAAAGTAAGATTAGTGTTGTAACACAGCATGACTGATAAGACACTTTTTAACTACATGTGCAACATTAGCTTTTTAAAAATGGTGCTGGCCAAAGATAAGTTTGTAAGTCCAAATTATAGTTGTACTTTAATTTTTTTGTGCTTTGTAATTAAAAATTGGCTTTTCATTGTTTTCTCCAATATAATTATTAATATTTGCATGCTTTCAAGTACTCAATGGACTACTGGCAGCATATGGTTTTATTATAAATTTTCTGCAGTGCCTGCCCGTATAGGGCATGCTGCGGTGCCTGCTGAATCTGTTGATGCCAAGCCCGAGGAGTGCACATTTGAGCCATGCACAGACTGCCAGTCTGCTGAAGAAGGTGGTGAACCTGACAGTTCAGAAATGGAAGATGAACATGGGAACTGCCGGATTCACATATACATCATATATCCCATCCTCATCACCTGACTCCTTGGACAGCATTTCCATTAACCCCTTTGCGGTGGTGGACTGCAAATGCCGCACTGTGTGAGGATTAGTGCATACCACACGAACTGTCTATTCACCATGCAGCTGCTGGTTCAAGGGGCCTGCTGCTGGACAGAGCTTGCATACTGAGCATACCACAGCCCAACAGTCACTGTCAAAATAATCCCACTGTGAGGGGGTTATGCAATCAAAACGGTAAAACTTTAATTTGTTTGTAGTGTATGGAAAGAACTATTGAATGCCAGTTATGGTAGCTGCCCAGCAGTCAGGGCTACAGTATTATGTTGATGTATACACACAAGAGTGTACTGCATCTGTCTTTGCTGTCTGTAACAGTGTTATCTCTTTGTGATGTGTCATATACAGGAGAGGACGAAGCCCACACACAGTGCCAACCCTTCTAAAGAGGTTTCTTACCACCAGCAACCCAACTACTTGGTGTTTCAGTCACCTTTGATGAAGCTTTTCGCAAGATGCTGGTCCTGAAGGTCTACATGTGTCCATCTGGACAAGAAGACAGTGGGCTCATATATACAAATTGAGCAAACCTGCCCAAAGGGCTCACACCGTTACAAATGGGAGTCTCAACCGCGGATATCTTCAAGACCAGCAGGAAATATTCTCATTTCTGCTTCCATCCTGTTTGCTGGGGATGGCCTGATGCAGACTCTCCAGATGCTGAGCAGCATAGGAGTGGCCTGTCCATCTTCACGGACTTATTACAACCATCAGGCTGAATTCCTCCTCAAAGCAGAGGAAATGTTCTGATTGCGGGATGTTAAGAAATTGCTAGTGGACAATGGGACTCCACTTACCATTGGGAAAGACGGCAGAGCTGACAGGCCTGGGCACTCAGCAAAATATGGTACATTCACTACAATGGAGCTGACCAGTAAAATAATCGACATCAAACTTGTCTGGGTAGGTAGAAATCCTCTGGTGAAAACTGGGGTCAAGCATTTTAGAAAGTTGCTGGTCTGTTGCCATGTTCATAATAATCCTTTATTTTCTAAATCAAGATAGTGGAGGACAATAGTTTCAGAAATTCGTAAAGTCAATGTTAAGATTCTTTAGTTTTGTTTAAATTTAGTTTTATTGCTGAATTTCTCCTTTTAGTCAAATCAGGTCAAAAGCTCAAACCATATGAAGTTTGAGGGGCGAAGAAGATGTTGCATCCATCAGGAGTGACAAACTCGTCATGGATAACTTTGTTATGGACCATCATCGACAGCTGTCCAAATACTTGTGGGAACATGAAGAGGACTTCACTCATATGTCTAATGTTTGGTATGTTGCCAAAGGTATTTTTAGAAGTTGATTTCACAATAGTACATGTACACTGGTGTTTTTGAAGAATTTTGAAAACAGAGAATCTTGAAAATCCCCCCCCCAAAAAAAATACGTCATCCAACTTCAACTTCCATCCGGCAGCAAGTGGTCAAAAAAGTTTGTTCTGATTTTACAAGTAATTATGAACATGGATACATTTGATTTTTATAAATATCATTGTGCTATAATCAGTTTTATCCCATTCCTTTGCTTTGCCAAGGACTCAAAAAGTTGAGAAACTTTCAAAGAAAGGCTTCGAGCAAGTTGATGACTTGAAAGGCAGCATTAACCACCACATCTGCTGGTGTGCTGCATCAACTGAAGATGCTGAGGAGGACTTGAGGGAAGCCGAGTGGAGCTTCATTGTCAACCATGTCGATGTCCATGAAATACATTCAGAGATATTTTCTCAATGCCTACATGGGAGGTTGGCTGGTCGCAAAAAGTCATTTTTAAAGCCAGGTTCTGTTCTTGAAAGAAGTTTCTTCCTTTGATTATCTTTAATACGGTCAAAAGATGCCAAGAAATTTTTAATGGTTGTGTTCATCACACAGCGTGAACCTGAAAGTGAGCTCAGTCCAGAAATCATTGAGACATAAAACAAAATTGATAATTCAATCTTTCGTCACAGATTAGTATAAATAATTCTAAGGCTTTACACATAGTACTAAGCTCTGTATGAAAGAGAACTTATACCTGAAAACTTCATATATCACTTTGCTATGCATGTATTTGAACATGCAGGTACTGAAGCCACTGAACAGCTGTGTGACTTGCTGAAGAAAAAGACATTGATCAAAGACATCCAGAAGATGTCAACATCTTCCCACACATCTGCCCCTGAAGCCGTCCATAGCCTTCTAAACCAATATGCACCAAAGAGCAGAACCTACTCAAATCTTGGCATTTTGACCTATGAGTTCACAACTTTGTGCATGTGAGAATTCACTGAATTCTCTATAATGCAGAAAAGTGCATGTACATGTAGTGTACATGCAGTGAACTACAGATTACAATTATTTAATATTTTTTTTGCTGTTTCCTACCGTTTTCAGTCACTGGAATAACTGCATGGGAGCACTGTCTGCACATGACCCCACCCCTTGCTCCCAAACCATGGACAATAAAACCCAGAAAGTTGCCATTATTTATATAAATTCTTAACCTTCCACATGACTCTTGGCCTTATCTGAAGCTTACAAGAGCTGGATTATTTTGGACCATTTAATTGGGGGGCTGCTCCCAGGAATTTCGGCAGTCCCATACCTGATCATTGTGAAACTTGGGGTAACAGTAAACACTGTCCTTTAAGTGAAGGTTCAACTCAGTCTGGTGTATAATTGGTTGATATGGTCACATACATGCCAGCGGGACTCCATGTTTGCTGTGGTTCTTTGTGCAAGGGGCTGTGAGAAAAGTCCATATGTTTGACCAACTTGTCCTGGGAAAAATAGGCACTATGCAAGAACGGTGGATAAATGGTTTTAAAATGAATGCAATGAATTACGGAAAAAGTCATGAAGGCTGAACTTGTGAGAAAAACTCACTGCAATGAAATAATAAAAAAATTTCGGTGGCAGATGGGTCCCCTCAGGCTCTTCTTGCATTAATTAACACAAGTTGATCATTTTCTCTCTCAGAGTGCGCACTGCTGCAATGCACTATACTTACAACAGTGGTCGACCCCAAGCCACTACAGCTGAGGGTAACCTCAGATTCAATGTGAGTTGACCGAAATACAAGAAGGGGGAAAGCTACAGTAAGCCTTATTAAGGAGGCCACAGGTTACGTTAAGGATGGTGGGGGCCTGCGTTGCAAAAGGCCTATTTTTTATGCTCGTTGCTCCAAGGTGATATCTTTGAGATCACTTAATTATAACCCTCTTCATAAATCCACAATCCTTTCTACTGGCATTTAAATTGATCAGAGGGTGTCCCCAAGTGCCTACAAATAAAAAAAACAGCACAAGGAAAGGTCAGAGTACGGTCACGGTACCCTTTTTCCAGTCAAAGGAGGGGATCCCACCACAGTCAACAAAAATTTGACACCCCCAACACAATGAAACTACTCAGACAGCTGTCTAGACAGCTCAGAGACACATCAAAGAGACCGACCATTGATTTAAGACAGGCCCAGGCTTGCCCAGGCACTTTCTTTGTCAATAATCCCTTATAAGCACATTGCTGAGATATTTACATACAATCCCTATGGGACTTGGCTGGAGGCTGGCTCTGGAAAAGACTTACTCAGGTAAGGGGAAGTCCCATATTAAAAGGTGACTAAACTAGGTTGTTCAGCATCTACAGAGGTACAAATTAACAGGAGGTTTTTGTATTTGGCCAATTCTTTTTTTTAATTACGTAATTAGAAAAAATCGGATCCCCAGTGTAGCAGTTCTGTGCACCGCAAGGTTTTTAAACTTTTAGCAATTGTTTCCCATATGGCATAACTAGGGCTAACTAGGGGGGCACAAGAAATAATATGTATCTGTCAGATATTCACATATTTCAAGTGGGGGGCAATCCTCCCCCCTCATTACACCACTGCTTATAGAAATATTTGTTGTATGAAAGCACTTATTTATTCTCAATAATACAGTTCTGGTGATGTTAATAAAAAGTAGGCAATGAATTTATTTTCCCATTTAAATGGGTCTGAAAGACCAACAAGATGTCTCCTAAGTCACAAATTACGAGGATTACATTCCCAAACAATAAAAATTCTACCCTTCCCATTGTGTGGCTGGAGGCAGGACATGCCCTGATAAGTGGGATCAAGGTACACTAAAGTGGTCTCTTTGTTTGGCCTATGAACTTCCACATCCCTCCAGAAGGTTATGCTATTAAGCGTCAACAAGTTATTCTCAGGCATATTTATACATAGATTTTTTTGTTTAAAATGTTAATTAGGATCGTACATGTACATGTCGAATTCAATGTACTATGTCTATCTGAAACGATATGTGAGTACTGAAATTTGAGTGACAAAGTCGGGCCTGTTTGTACAGTCTGACTGGCCTCATATATTGCAAAAAAAATTGTTTTCCTACGTGAATCTGGAATCAACTTTGGTGTTTTTCTTATACAGTGGCAAGCATTAGAGTCTCTAAAATATAATAAAACCACTTTTAAATCTGAATAGGGTATTTTCAAGTTGTTGATGCTACTTGTGAGTGCTGACACTTGTTGACACTCAGTAGCATGACTGCTCCAGTAACCATTCTGGTGGTGTGCAGTGACCCGTACATAATGAGCACATTACAGAGAAAATAGAGACCAGGCAAAAACCGCACAGAAGTCTGAGGTCCACCCCTGCTGTTGGAATCCCCCTCCCAACAATCTTACCAACAAGATTAAAATCACACAAGGTAATAGTTTATTTCGGAGACACGAGAGGATGATCAAGTTGACACAAAAACTTGAAGATACCTAACAAAAACTAGTCCATTGTGATACAGAGCTGAGAAAATGACGAACATGGCAGCATGACTGCAGTGCATAGTGGGAGGTCAAGAGGTACCTTGGATGATCAAGCCTTTTCATTGAATGATATTAGGCGCATGGGAAATTTGCATATGTAGTGACTGTTTGGGTAGTCAGAGCACTACAGACATGGCAAGTTACTGGCAATCTTCAACTCAGAGGGCTGTCATAAACGTTCGAGTGAAACAAGTCAGCTTCTCCCAATAAGTCTCTTTTGGGGGGGCAACCACACAAAGCAGTGGCGTATCCAGCCAGGAGAGGGTAACTTGGCCCCCCGACTGATTTTTTTCAAAGAATACTTTATAGGCTAGAAAGAAATCAGTGTACACAATAAATATTAGCATCAACCCTCATGAAATAAATGTAAGGATGTCAAGATGGCGAGTAAGGCTTCTGTTTTTTTTCTCCCCCAACATGTTGAATGAGTCCGAAACTGCATTCGCTTTTAATTTCTCCCCGACACCAAAAGCCAGATATGCCACTAATACGTCCCTGCTGGAGACCAACGGAAAAGCGTCTCCCAATGAGCTTTTTTGGAAATTACTTGGGCCCTGCTAGCAATGTATACCAGCCATCAATGTGGCTCAGACAGATGGCCCGTTGCCATGAAAGAAGTGTGGAAGCGGGACAGGTGCACGACCAATTAGATGAACTGATGTCCTGTCTGGATACAGGTTTTGTGACAGGCAAGCTGGAAAATAGGAACGCCCACTGCAATCATGTTGGCATGTAGAAGTGACAGGCTACGAATCGAGGTCGGAGATTGTAAATCGAGGACGTCCTCAGTTCGCAATAAGGTGAAATTTGAGGCCACAGTCAGCATTTATGAGGGTCAGCGAAATTTCAAGGCATTTGGAAGCCGTCCTCCGTGTACGCATTTAACACGCCGGGTGTTTAAAAACACCTGCTCCAAATAGACAGTTTCGGCGCATCCCTGGATGGAATAGCACCCTCTCTAGCTCTCTTGCTACCCTGTCCGATCCGGATTGCTGAGCACAATAAACGTAGCCAAGTGCAGGGGATGCATAACCCCAACAAATATGAAAGCCTCCAAACTGTCCAAAAGCATCATAGTGTCACCTTGCCATCACACCTGAGCCCAACGCTAGAGTGTGTTAAGAAACTTCTGTTGAAAATTCGCAATATAGGTAATCACAGGCACAATTGTCAGGTTCTTCGTGCAGGTCGTGGTGAGTTCGTTGTCGGGTACAGGCCAAATCGCAAGGTATCTACCTCCCCATGCATATGGACTATGCGTATATTGTTATACCAAGTCAACCCAACCCAGACTCCCACTTTGTAGGGCATCATACTCGACCGGAAAGAATACCTCTCTTCCTATTCACCCCCCGCGAAGAACAGACCGGTACAAAGAAAGAAGGGGACCAAAAATCACCCCAATAAATGTATCTTGCGACAAGAACTCCCAAAACAATGATCCATTTTGGCTGGCCAACTCCCCCCCCTCATTCCCAACGCCAAGCAAAGACTGCCAGACACCCATGCATGTATGTGTGCTATGACTGATTGATTTCAATTATTGGGGTTTACTCTCAGAAGGCTTCACCAGTGAAGAAGACAGCAGCGACAGTGGGGACAGCAGTGACAGCAGTGAAGACTCCTGGGATGAATTCGTCGAAAACGGTAAGATTTGGTCTGTCGGGCTGTCTGTCTGTCACATGGACAGGCTGTCTGCTGAGCTGTCACCTACATTTCTAATGTCCTTTTCTTGCCTCTTTATTGATAGGACAGCTTCCTGGTGTTGCTGCTGCATCGCAAAGAAGGGAACCCTCTCCGCCATCAAGACGAGTGAAGCGCCATCCCTGGACTACAGCGGAGAAGACAGACGTCCAAGAAGGCCTGCGCCAATTCTTCCAGTTGAGGAAAGTTCCTGGCAAGCTGGACATCGAAGCAGCTTGCACTGTGGCACTGCAGACCCGTACTTGGAGAAACATCAAAGACTTTTGTCGCAACACAATGAAGTTGTAGCCAAGTTAAGCTATGATACGCCACACCAGCCATTCTCTCAAGACATCATACCATATTGATGATGAACCCTTAAGTAGTAGGCCAATAACGCAACCTAATTTTAACGGCCCAAACAACGACGAACTTGTGTGTTGTCCTTGGTGTTATAGGCTGCACTCACATGGACGAATAGTCCTCCATCTGGTAGTTTGGAAAGTATGCCCTCCATCTGCAATGTCTACATGTAAACGCGTACATTTATGTGTACATGTACATGCAAGCATTATTACAGCACTTCAGTACTGTTCTGTTTGGCCTGGCTATTGCATTGATTTGGTTTTGCATTGAAAAAAAAAAAAATCCAGGAAAAATCAGCACTTGCGAAAGAAAAAAAAACAAGATATCCAGCCTGTTGATTGCTGAACCATGGAAAATTAAATTCTACATTTTCAAAACAAAAAAACAGACATCCGCTAAAAACGGACATTTCACACCCTAGTTAATGAAAGATACCCCCCACCCAAATACAAAATAATTTCTGGGGGGGGAAAAAAGCTCTGATTTTGTCACTACAGATTCTTACCCAAACAGCTAACCAGCGTTCTTGAAAAAAACACTCACTAAATGAAGCATACTTTAAGGACAAACACAAATAAGCAAAAAGGATAAACAGAGCTTGTTTATATCCAAATTTTCCACTTGTCCAGAGTTCGAAGGTTCCATATTATGAACAACTGGATAATACTCCGAACATTCAAGATGCACTATAAAATTTTGAAATTTCTTAACCGAAGCACCTACATGTTATAGATGCACTGGGAAAATCCTGCATTGAGTAATGCTACTTAAATCTCTAAAAATTTCACTAACATCCCCATTCATTTGGACAAAAAAATAAATGTGATAATTTTACAGGAAATCCCAAGCGCTCTTTAAGGATTAATCTTCTGTCATTTAACAACAACGTTTGTAAATGGGCAATGACATGATGTCTCCTCAATCTGGTGGAGACACAAACTTTGTAGGGAGGTCAGAATTTATGCTTGAGTAATCCTTTAGTGAATGCAGTCCTAGGCATCATAAAATGCCACTCGACCCTTGTTCGATCCTCCTCGATCTCGCTCCACACCTGCTTGATCGTGCTTGATGGGAATTCTTTGAGGGAGGCCAAATTTCTTGAGAGACTTGCGAGTCCTTCAACCTTGATGGGTACTTATTTGCAATCACTGCTGTACACTAGGCTATTTCCTCTTACCAGTTTTAATCTTGCAGGTGCTATCTTGTCTATGTTGATGGGCTCTCTTGCTCGTACATTCTCAAATATCACCTCTGGAATAGCCATAGCGCACACAATATGTGCCCAACGGCCGTTTGTGGTTCGCTTCAGAGCCCCTCCACGAAGATTACATAAGCAACATTCCTGCAATGAAAAAACATCACAATACTTTCCAATCATGAGTAAGACAGTTTAGCCATTCCTACTGGTCAAGAGCCTGTAAAATAGCCAATCTTAACCTTAATCCCCATAGGCCTTTCTACTAGGAACCATTCTGAAAAAAATGCATCCAGCCCAAATCCTCCAAAATTTCTTGAAAACATTGTTTGGAGGTGTGCCTAACTGCCTGAATCCTTCAAAATCCTGCGGCGATTCCTCTCATTATGTTGAGGCAGTGCGAATGGCACTCTTGAGCTGTGCAGTTGATTCAAAAGAAATATCGGGCTGAATTTGTGCTTGACTAAGTACAAACAACATGAGGTCTTCACATATGGCATCCTTCGAAATCAGCTATGCACTTTTGCCATACACCCTGAATCCTCTAAATTCCTCCACTTTGTCGAAAAGGATTTTGGAAGATTTGGGACAGTTAGGGTTAAACAGTTGATAAAGCACTAGCTGGCCGAGCACCAACTTAAGCAGCATGCATCATCCGAGTGTCAATCTCCATTCGAGGGGATTGCTTATGACTATTCACAAAACAAACATACTAGAGCATTTGCTAGAGGGGTATCAGGAAAAAAAGAAGCAAAACTTTTGAACAGAATTGTTGGAAATATAGAAATTTTTATACTCGTTTTAACTATTTGACTCAAAATGTATTCATAAATGGGAAAAGCTGTGTTCTTAGCCAGTTTAAATGCGAACGAAATCAGGATAACGGATCCTAAGACCGGCCAAGCACGTATTTATGCCCTAATGAAACTGTACAATTGACAGGTGGTATAATGTATGTTTATATATTGTAGATGGCAACACACCTATTAGTCTTGGTTGCAAGACCTTCCAATAGGTTATTCTCTGACACGAACCATAACACATGCACTATACAGGGCATAATCTCAACACGAATCACACACACAGCTAGGCAGGTTTTGGATTTTTCTGTTTGGTCTGGGACGGTAACAGACATGGTAATAAAGGTAGGATATGCATTATTCATATTAGTACAGTATGCTGAGTAATCCAGCTGGATTTTGTGCCAAAATGGATTTTATTGGCTAACTAAAAATAAGGTACCATTTTTTCGGCCATGTCTTCGACTGCCGTTTAGGATTTCGAAATGGCAGCCATTTTTCATTATGTTTTCACCTGTTTCTCCACTTACGAGCAACTCAGAAGAAAGAGTGGCATCCATGTTTGTGATAAATGTATGTTAAAGTCTCCTATCATAAGACTGCACCCGAAAAATTTTTTGATGGCTGTGGCGAGACTATAGAGGGTGTTGTTTAGAATGACAATGTGCACTTCATTAAAACTAGCGGGAAGCAGCGCCAAACTAGTGGTAACAAAGTAAGTGGAAGTAAGAAGTAATATTTTTTTTGCAATGACACCACAATCTCTGGATTGAGGTAATTTTCTGATGTTTGTTGCTCAATAAAGAGACTAACTTCGTGTGGGGAGTGGCGTAGTGAAGTGTAAAAAGCGCATTGGAGAAATAGGCTAGAGGGGCCACCAGACAGTCCTTCACATGTTTGTAGGTGTCCAGTAAATGAAAATAGGAACTTTTAAAGAATTTTGAAAACAGAAAAAAATGATCAATATCCCGGCCCAGCATCATCAACATTGATAACTGCCCCGGCAGGAAGTGGAAGCTGCAGCTGGTACATCATCTGAATACTGGTAACATTTACCAACATTAGCACTGTGTGGTATTAACAAGGTGTAAAAGTCGACGGTGTTCCGGAGGACATTTAGCCCGGCCCGTGTTTAAGTGAGGAATTTGTGGAATAGTATGCAGGATACACACTTTGTAGATGACAGCCTAAATCTCAACCTTAAAGCCTTGGTCCTACAATGTTGGAAAGTCCGAAATTGAGGCTTACTTCTTAAGATATAATGTCAATAAAGACAAGGGAAAAGGAAAGTGTTGTACCATTTCCTCTGTACTATTAACCCCTTCATGACGGATGACTGCAAACGCCGTGCCTGGAGAAAAGTCTAATTTCCAGATGTCTGCGGACGCCGCAAAACACACCTGCAACTTTTATTTTAGTAGTGTACACCTGTAGTTACTGGGAGCTTTACAATGAATGGAAATCTGGGGCAACTAGGAGAGTTGGTCGACCCCAAGATACCCAGTTAATTGGATTTTATTCATCAGAACACCCCCTTTTTCTTTGATTGAATACCCTGGGTAATCTCTGTGGAGTGTCACTGACTCCGCTGGCAGGGCTTATGCAATGCGCATTGTGTGGGTCCAGAGCACAATGAATACAGGCCATTGACATGGTGTGCGCACCATTGTTTATGGCCCTGCTGGGCCCTGAACATGTGCACAGCACCCCAGCACCCACACTCGGGATATAGACGGTCCACTGTTCAGCATTATTTCCATTTGTTTTGTCCAAAAAAGAGTGTTTTGGTAGCACTCGGTATATATTTTACTGGCCGCTCCCCGGCCCTTCAGTTGCATTACACGATGTCTTCCAGTGAAGAGGAAACTCTGACAGCGACTGTGGTTCAGATTTCACGTCGGAATCTTAACACAGTTCAGAAATTGAAACTAGTGACAGCGATTTTAACGGGCAACCACCGTTAGCGAGGCGTGCCGAGAAGAAGGTCAAGACTTCGCCATTCAATGGACGGCTAATGACAACTTTCCCACCGACAAGGCTTTCAAGGCACAGCGGGTGTTCGAGTGCAAGAACTGGACGAGAACAGTACTACTGTCGAAATCTTCAAGCAGTTCTTCACCCCAGAGTTGACATTGAACATTGCCAACGAGCCCAACCGCTATGCCGCTTAACACCCGAAAAGTCAAGCAGTAAGTCCAAGTCACATGAGAAGCTGGTTCGGCACAACACCAGACGAGATGTCAGTGTTCCTGTCCACGATGATCGTCATGGGACTGATGCCGAAACCCAACTTGAAGTCCTACTGGACGAGAGAGTCAATACTTGAGACTCAGTTTTTCCCTCATACCATGCCACGCGACAGATTTATGGACTTGCTGTCCCGTCTGCATTTCATCGATAACAGCCGTGTAGGTACCACTGATCGACTCTACAAGCTCCGCCCGGTGATAGACGAACTGACCGAGAAGTTCAAGTCCGTCTAAATTCCGTCTAGCAACATTACTACCGACGAGTCCCTTTGGAAATTCAAAGGGAGACTGAGGTTCAAGCAGTACAACCCCAAGAAGCGTGCGAGGTTTGGCATCAAGGTGTATCGAGTCTGCCAGAGCACGGGAGTTGCCCTGGATAAAACTGGAACTTCAAGGTTTAAACTGGTCAAGACCAGACTGTTGGACTGGCAAGTACAAAAATCGTACTTGACTTGAACGCCGATCTTCTTGGCAAAGAGTACACCATTTTCCTGGACAACTGGTTCAGCAGCCCTGAATTGTACCTGAAACTATACGACCAGAAGACGAATGTCGTCGGGACGGTGAGAAGCAATCGTCAAGACATGCCAAAGGACTTGTTCTCCTTGAAACTCAAGAGAGGTGATGTTCACCACTCTTGCGACAAGGGCTTGCTCGCCTTGGTCTGGCGAGACAACAAAGATGTCCGTATGTTGTCCACGATGCATACAGCCTAGATGGCCGACACCGGAAAGCGGAACCGCGACGGCATCGCTTTGGAAAAACCCAGGTGTGTACTCAACTACCGGTACAACGATGGGATGAAGGGTGTGGACATTGCAGACCAGCTGGCATCTTCGCACTGTTCAGTAACCATCAATCAAATGGTATAAGAGAGTGTTCTTATTTTTGCTTGATGTTGCTCTTGTAAACTCTTATTTTGTTAATAAGGAAATGGGTGGCACTGACAATTTTTTGACATTTAGACATATGTCGGTGAGTGAAATTTAAGAGTTGCATGCACCAAATTTGCCAGTGTATCGATCTAGAGGTAGACCATCCGTCTTCCTGGTCCAGGTAGACTGATACGAGGACATTTTGTTGCAGAAATTCCCCCAACTGGAACACGAGCTTAATTATACAGATGGTGTGATGTTTGTTACAGAGACTGTAAAAGAAAAGAGACTAGATTTATGTGTGAAATTTGTGAAGTAGCACTTTGCCCTGCTCCTTGTTTCAAGGTTTATCACACTTGAATCATTTACTTATTCATGCCACGTTTCCTGTTTTCCCAGATGTAGTAAATGAAATAGTACATGAAATTTTAGGGCAACTCCTTCAAGGTTGATTATACTTGAATCAATTATTCATGTACAATTACATGTGTTCCAAGACATAGTAAATGAAATAGTGCAAGAAATTTCGGGGCAACTCCTTGAAGGTTTATTATACTTGAATCAATTATTCATGTACAATTACCTGTAATCCAAGACATCGTGTCACGCAACTGCTCTATTTTTCTTTCCCTTTTTTCCCTAAAATTTTTAACAAGAAAGTAATTTTATTTCTAAAATTCAGTTTGAATTATTGTTAAATACATGTATATGAGAAGAGAAGTGAAAAAAATAGGAAATGACAAGTCGTCAAGAGAAGAAGAAAACTGAGAAGTTGTCTTGTGTTATTCTTGTGTCTATTTATTTTATAATTATGGGAAAGATTATTTGGGAAGATAATTTTCTTGGGATGGTTCCAAGTTTAGTTAGAAGGGGGCTGTGTTAGATATATCATTACATTCAAAAAGGAGGTTTGAATATAACTTGCAAAAATAACTTCAGAAATATGCAAGAAAATTATGTGCGTACATAGCGCCTGATGAAAAATAGGCAATTTTTACAGGTAATATTGACTGGTTATGTTGCGTGGGTAAGGCAAGTGCTGGGTGCCTGGTTATTATGTTATATGGGATCCAAATACCCCAGCGTGAATCCTGGCCACACAAAGCCGGGCGTTGTGCAGTGTGCAACCCAGCAAACTTGGCAGATAAGGCCTGGTGACCTTGCTACATGTCTGCGGTTGCCGTTAGCAAAATTGAGGAAAAAACCTGGCAGCCAGGCAGGAC